ATTTTTTTACTTTGAGTCCCCAAAACTAAGAACTGTACCTTGCCATACTAAGCACTTAATCAAAGCTTCTAGATCGATTCTGGACACTACATACATCTCATATAATGCATCTCAAGATTTCATTTGCTTTTTATGTTACTGTGAATAGATTAAGCTTTAGTCCCTAATGGGGGATAGAGAGCATGGTAGGTTAGGAAGCACACAATGGTATCTAAATTAGCAAGAGGAAGGGTAAAAAGAGGGAAAAAAGTCAGTAATTAGATTTAATTAGATAAAACTCTCCTGGTAATTCAATTCCTACTTGGAAACTCACTTAGGAAAGGCCTCTGTTTACATTAGAACTTCATTGGAGTTTGCTAATTAACTATCAAAAGCAATGGAATAGTGTCCTATTGTGGTAAAATGAGGGAAAACCCATGAGAAATATATGCTGTTTTTTTTTTTAATTCAGGAGCCTGTATGACTGAACCCCAATACAATGATCAGGCACAGCAGATGGAATTTGCCAAAACAATTAATGATGAGAGTTAGATCAAGAACAACAAAGAACTGAGAATCTCCCTTTGAGCAGCCATGGAGGATAAGTGGCATTTTGCAGTGATCTACAGAGTTTGCAATGTTTGTAGTTCTACCAGTTATTAAGGAGTGGTAAGTATTCACAGTGAAAAGATGAGTCTTCCCTCTAAGAAAATGAAAAAGGCAGAAGGAACATCTCTCTACTATTCAACTCATCAAGGGAAATAAAGTAGTCCTAGAACATGATGGAGGAAAAGGGGAAGTGCTTCTAATAGGAAAAAAAAAAAGAAAAAATATTTAAAGAACAAAAAATAATACTAAATTGTCTCAAGAGGTCAAAATGGTAAAGAAGGTTTTTCAGAGAAGCAATGGAATAGTTTTATATACAGAGAAACACAAACAGGTTTCTAAAGCTGCCATAAAAAGAGACAAAAGGTAAACAATTAGATTTCATTATATAGTAGGTGCTTATTATATACTTCATGAATGAATGAATGACCCAGAATATATAATTCAAAAAGGCAGATAAGAGATGGAATGTCAACAACTTTTTGTCATGACATCTCATTTTGCCTATTACTGATCATTTTCACTATATTATACTAGGTATTCTTTTCATGTAGGTTTGGATTAGGTGTTTACTGAAGTCTCTTCAAATTCAAATTCATTGATAACAAAAATGCTACCACTTCCTTTGCTGAGGAGGATGTATTTTCTATTGAAAAACAGCAGATGGATTTTTTGTGTTTTCAAAAAGTGTATGCAGTTTATTCTAAGTGAAATTCTATTTTTATTTTACCCTCTTAGCATTTGATGGTTGAAAAGCTGTTATGTTTTTTTCTATGATGTATTAAATGATGAATATATAAACGTTGTCTCTGCTTTCCTTAAAAAAAATGAGTTGATGACAACATGATCCATGTTATAGATCAAAAGGAAATTGGACTAGAAGTCAGAAGACTTGTTTGAGTTCAAATTCTGTCTCCAGCATTTACTATTTTGTGATTTTGGAAAATTAATTTCCCCTGCCTGAACCAGCTGCCCCAAAATGGATTAATAATATTTGCACAACTTATATCATAGGGTTGTTGCAAATAAAGTACTTTGACAACTACAATACCACTGCCTAAATGTCAGCTCCTATTATTAAGCATGAACTATTTTCTGCAATAACAAAGATGGTGAGATAGATTCATCAAATCCCAGCTCCTCAGCATGGTGGCCATGATTCTAATCTTGGGAATTATAATCATCAGCATCACACACAACTTTAAACTAACGTCCCTAAACTTTTCCATAGACAGGTCAACCCCTTTTGCAATTCTATGAATTTCCTTCATTCCAAGAAAAAAGCTCAGCTAGGCAAGAGGCCCTGTATCCCCTTTTCCAGGGAGAATGGGAGTCAGAGGTGCTATTATAAATTACCAATGCAAATTATCTACAGGTTATTTGCTCTTACAGGTTAGACCTCTTTCCATTAAAACTGTCATTTTGAAGAAAGAAAATTGCATGTTCCCATTTGTGGACCCAACAATAGCTTATGTGTTTTTTTTTCTTTTTCATTGTTGATATTCATGTTTAAAAGCTGTATAAATGCACAATTTGAAGTGACACCCACCGTTAGTGGTTACCTTATCTTTTTGACTGACAATGATGAGATTTCTGTCATGCTAGCCTCTCCTACAGTGCCAGTGATGGGATTTTTTGAAATCTTATTACTGGTTGCACTACCGTGGTCTCAGATGGAACTTTCAATCAAAAAGGCAATCAGAAGGTTATACATTCGTGAGTTTCCCTACAAAGGAACCCTGCAAAGCAAGGGAGTGTATAATATAACTCTGCAGAAGAACCTGCTTGCCTTCAATCCATCTATAGTTATAAACAGTAATGGGCTGCTTAGCTCACAGCACCCTCCTCTACTCTCCAAAATGTGGCCTCACCTAGAACTCAGTCCAATCTCAGTATGGAATCAGGTTGTCATATTTACTGTGCTGGTGGAGATTTCCATTTCTAATGCAGAACATCGCCTTATACTGAGTAGCTGACTAACAGAGATGTCCCGAGGACATATTTTACTGTCTGAAATCTGATTGGATACATGTCTCATTTCACTTGAATTGCTTATGTATACAGTTTTTTTTCTTTTCCCCCATATTCCTATTGCTGTTGCTCAGTCATTTTTCCAGTAATGTCTATTTGCCATTTCCTTCTCCAGCTTGTTTTTTAGATGAGAAAACTGAGGCAAACAGGGTTAAGGGACTTGCCCAGGGTCACACAGTTAATAAGTGTCTGAGGACAAATTTGAACTCAGGAAAATGTCTTCCAACAATAATTCCAATTATATTATTCCAGTTCTAATTCTAATTATCCTACTCTAAAGTTCAGAACCTTGAAGACACACTATGTCAACAATAACTCTTCAGAAAATCAGAGACTTTATCAGTAGGCACTCTCCATTAATGAAGATCACAAAGATAATTTCCTTAAAAATGGTCTCTAAGTGTTGCTGTGGTGACTAAAGCTAGGGTGTTAAGCATTTCCATTCCTAGTTAAGCTGGTCCTCTGTTAACATGCACAGTACACCAACAAATCTTACATTGCATGGCTTTATCATGTTTGCTCCTCAGGCAAAACCTTCAGAAATCATGGGTTAAATCTGCCATGAAAAGGCATTTTAGGAAGATAATGAAAAGAATGCTTTACTTAACTACATGAAAATAGAAATCTTGGTTACCAAAAGAATGTGGTACTGCCATGATGGAGTACAGGATAGTGTGACAAATGTCAAATTAAGTTGGGAGGCCTGAAGTCTATTTCTTGTTCTTCCACTAATTAATTCTACAACCTCAAGTGACCACTTCAATTCACAGGTCATACCTTATCTAAAATTCTAGAGTTCAATTCACAATTGATTATTCATTGTTCAAGGGCATGAACCAGACTAGAAGAAAAGATAAGACCACAAGTATTTATAAAAATATATTTCACAAAGTAGGAAACAATACAGGAGTTTCTCTTAATACAATACATGAAGTAAATAAACAAACAATATAGCATCAAAGCAAAGTAGAAAATTAAAATGATTTGCATGTAATACTTAAGTTTTATTATACAGTCTCTACTTCTAAATGGCAAGTTTGCATTACAAATTAAGTATGCTTGCAGCTTCTAGTGCTGTCTTGTCTTGGAGTGCAAAAGCCCCTGTGCATAACCATGAACATTAGATAAAGAAATGCTAATAACATAAGTAGTAAAGTTATGTACAAACTGGTTCCTTCTCTAATACATTGGAGAACTATAAGCATGTTTTACTTTACTGTGTAATGTGTGGGCTTCTAAAAGGCTAGAGTTTAAATATTGACACGAACCAGTATACCTCCAGATGTTTGTGCTTGTAGTAAAAACACCAAATACTAGAGTTATGAACAAAATAGAAAACTGTTCAAAAGTTTCTCTGGGAAAATGTTATTCCTGCCCTCATCAGTCACGTAAAGCTTAACTACTCAAAAAGAGACTGTTAGCTTCCCTTTTTTATAGATCATCTGTGATCATCCTTATTTGCTCATCAAAATGTACATGTATTAAACATTCATTTTATATATATATATAAAACAATCTAAAGGATTATTAATGGATATATATTTTTCATATATTCCCTTAATCTATAGATTACCAACCTTAATAAATAAAAGCAGTAATGGACATCAATAAAATATTTATTTCGAGGATTAAACAAATAAATTCACTCATCAGGGATAAAACCAACCATCTCTTATATAGTCCATCCATCCTGTGATACAGTTCATTTTGTGTCCTTGTGAAAGATGATGAAGTGGAAGATGAGAGTAATCCTTCTTCCAGAAACAAGCCTATTTTAATGGGATTTCTCCTCTTCCATCATTGAATGTGCAACCCTCCCTCCACCCTTCCCTGGAATGAATTAAGAACATGTGAATATTTTAAGGCTCCACACAATATATAAAGATGAGAAATAGTCTGTGGTTATTGGGCCAACAAGTATGTACAATGGATGGTCACTGCACAGTAGAAGCTAGTAGGTCTTAACAATGCTCCTCATAGCTAGCATTGTACAGAAGACCAGGTATTGCTTTAAAAATTTTGGTGGCAGGATCTTTATTGGCATTGAGGAAAAACATGTTACTTTATACACCCTGGCAGATGACGTTATTCAGCAGCAAAATCCCTGCAGGTCCATTTCTCTACAAAAGCACCATTTGTTTTGATTTTTCCTCTATTCCTTACATTGAAGATTAGCCAAGATCCCAATCTCCATGTCCATGGTGGTCAAATGAATATCAAATATCCAAAGACTTCTAGACACTCCACATACTTTACTTCACACTCCACAAGACTTATAAACCTCCTAACATAGACTTTTGTATTTTTTTTTTTGGTTCAACATTACAATGTAATTGATTTCATAGATGACTGGTGCTAAACTTGCCTCTAAAACAAATGACCACATTGGTTGTAACTAACAGGGATGGCCCTAGAATATTACATGAGTTTTCAGTTTCATGGGGAAGTTTATAATCCACTGTCAAGTTTCTTTGTCACTTTCTCCAACTGAGTAGAGTTCTCCAAGTCTTTTGAAACGAGGACCCCATTCACTGAGGTAGTCAAAATTCTGATCTGAGTCTGATGTTGAGGACTCCAGGGAACTGAGAGAGCCAGCCACTGAGCCTCGGCCTTCATAGCCATAAATCTGAATGGAGTCATATGGCGGAGCTGTGGGATCATTATCAGCTTCATGGAGCCTCACGTTAATAAATTCATCAACATCCACACCATTTGGAACAGGTGCAAGCCCTTGCCTGGGCATAAATTGCAGGTCAGGTTTTATATCCTTCCGGGGCAAAAATCCATTTATTCCATCTGGATTCTGTAAGGTTGCAATGTCAAAAGCTTCTGTATCCTCTTCTCCACCCCCTTCGTCATCATAACGGATGATATTTTCCCTCACATCTTCATCATCTTTAATAATCAGTGGCTCATTTTTATGTCGTCTCAGAGTTACAAACAACACCACAATGACTGAAAGGAAAATATTGGATCATAAACACATTAGTCAAAACAAGGTGCAATCAAAGAAAAATATACTGATTATTTTTCAAGAGAAAAATTCATTTTAAAGATCCAATAGATAGACTCATGCTAAAAGAGTAAAAACAGAATTCTGGGAGAATGCCATTCCCTGCTAGTTTCTACCTCTGGTTCTTATATTTGGACTTTATTGCAGCATAACTACATTTTATAGCAAAGGAAAACAGAAGAGGGGAATAGAAATATCAGAAGAATACTAACTGATAGGGAGGAGGGCATATATAGTAGAGAAGCATTGATATAAACTTCAGTCATGAGCAGGAAGTCCCAGTTTTTAAACTTGTACTTTTTCTTCCTGAACATGTTGTGCTCACTAAACCCAAACAAAGTATTTTTCTTTCATATTCTACTAATATCCCATATGTTTATAGAAGTCCCGTTCTAATGTATAGATAAATCATATGAAGCAGTTATTTCTTCTTATAATATGGCATGTGCGTGTGTGTTCATATACATTTAATATTTAGAGTATAAAAGTTTCCAAGTATAGATATTAATTTTTATACATTTCTTCCCATCGGTTATAAACTATTTGGGACAAAATGGACAAAATCAATTTCTAGCTTTGTTATTTCATATTTAAAACAAACAAACAAACAAACAAACTATTTTTACAGGTTACACCAGAAGTCTCCAACCAGTAAGGTTTACCGGTATAATGAAAAGACTAATCTGATGGATTTCTAAGTTGATTCCCATCATCATCCCACCTCTCTACCATGCCTCCCAATTCCATATTGCCAAGGATTCCAGTTTGGAATACAGAATCTAATGTATACGCTTTCCATAACTCAAAGATATTATTGTCTTCTCCCTAATATCTGCCCCACCTCCAAAATAAAGACCATAATCTCAAGAAAAGTAGTTACCCAAAAATAAATAAAAAAATAAAAAAAGTTGGGGACCCCTGGTCTAGAGAGGATCAGTGGGGTTAAGTTATTTTCATTAATTTATAAACCTGACAGATCTTGGTCATCAGCGTATAAAACACAATACATACCTAGTAGTAAAATGATGCATGCTAGTATAGCTATTAATGCTCCCATACTGAGTCCAATTGGAAGTACATAAGCTTCAACATTACAAGACTGTACAACACCATCACTGCTACAACCACAGACACGAATGGTCAGAGTGCTGGTGCTACTCAGGGGAGGGTTTCCACTATCACTGATTACAATTGGTAAAAGGTAGACTTCTTGCTTCTGGCGATTGAATCCACTATGCTTTGCCAAAATGCTGAGAGAATTATCTGGAAAAAAATCAAGAGAGTTTGCATCATTTCAAAATAGCTGCTACAATGTTTTTATTATTTTTTTATTCTCCCATTCCAGCTGTCTGATTTCCCCTTGCCTTTTGTAGCATAGCATCGTTTTCATTCATTCATTCATTCAAAAGGCATTTATTAAGCACCTATAATGTGCCAGGAACTGTGTTAGGCCCTGGTGATATAAAGATAAAGCAGAAACAGGTTATGCCTTCAAGGAACTTGTATTCTGTCTGGAAAACCAATAAACACAAACACACATGCACACACACACACACACACACACACACACACACACACACACACACTCAAGCATACATATTTCCTGTGACTCTTAGGGCTCCATGATCAGCAAGGTAGTTATGGTCCCAGCATCCTGCTGCCTTTAGCAAACAACTCTTGAGATGATCTCAAGTGTATTTTTTCATTAGGAGCAGCACAGCATAGTAGAAAGAGCACCTACCTTCACAGAACTGTTGTGGGATTGAACAAGAAAAAGTATGTAAAGCATTTTGCAGATTTTCCCATGCTATATAAATATAAACTATTGATCACTATATTTATTATTATTATTATTAATTAGGCATTCCTAGCAATCCAAAGGTCTGCCAGTTTCCCAAAGCACACTAAAACTAGTAAGCAAGCAAGGATTGGAACTTGGAACAAGAAAAGAAAAAACTTTGGAGGCAAATGTGAAAATGAGATATATTTGAATGCCTTGACAAATGCTCCATCACAGGGAGGTTAAACAAAGTCGTTAGATCAGCCATGCTTCCTGGTATTAAAGCTTCAAAGAATGAGTCACGAACAGTATGATTTTCACATCCATTAAAATATAAACATGTCTATAACGCCTTGCTGATCAGCAGTCAACCTGACATGATGTGCTCATTTGTTTAATATGTTCTATGGATTTCCTTTGGTTATGCCCCATTATACAATGCTTTTGGGGAAGAAGGATATCTACAAATGATATTAAGCCATGGTGTACCCAATGATCCAAGGATCTTTATTTTACATGACCTAGAAGGCAGACACAGCATGCAAAGGAACAGTCCCCAAGAGCAGACAATAAATAGCTGTGCTCTATTTGGAGAATGTCTGTGACACGTTGGAGCACATTTAATTAGCTCATGGAACATTGGTAAAAGATTTCACATCCTATAGCTCGAAACAGAAGATGAGAATTGTTCTTTAAAATGTAATTAATACAAATCATAATGATGCTTGTGTCTTTTGGTAGCTGACATTATTTGTATGTGATGCTATCCTTGCATATTTCTGTTTCTTTGGCATTCCACAATAATAACTTACAGACTAAAGCAGGAATATAAAAATGAGTGTAGGATGAGAGCTATCTCCATGACTGCAAAGGGAAGCATTAGGTGTTTCTAATACTAAAATCATGCCAAATCCCTCTACCGTCCTGATTTAGGGAAGGCATTTAAAAAAAACAAAAACAAAAGCAAACAAACTCTGTGTGTGTGTGTGTGTGTGTATGTGTGTGTTTTCTTCCTTGTAAATCTCTGTAAAAACCAAGGTTGTTATTGTCATTTTGTTGTTGTTATCTTCTTGTTATCTGGTTTTGGGGAAGGGGAGGAAGGACAATAATGGTTTGCTCACTTGGAAAGTGAGTGGGCTTGCTTAGATCTATTTTGAAGCCCAGCAATAGGAAGGAAAGTAGTGAGATTGCATGAAGTTTGTGCAACAGGTTATATCTCTCCTATTGAAAATCTTTTTTGAAAAGAAGAGAAAAAGGAGAAAAGTCATGATGCGTTTCAATGAGAGCATGAAACTTGTATTCAAATACCTAAGGAAAAGTTTTTTCTACACACAGAGACTTTCCATCTAATTGTTCTATCTATGCCTTTTCACATGCTGTTCCCTATGCTAGGAAAAATTTACCTCTTCAATTCCACCTCTAGTCAGCTTTAATTTTCTCTCTCTGTATCTCTCTGTCTCTCTCTGTCTCTCTGTCTCTCTCTGTCTCTGTCTCTGTCTCTCTCTCTTTCTCTCTCTCTCTGTCTCTTTCTTTCTCTTTCTCTCCACACATGCACACACAGAGAGAGGCAGAAAAATCACTTAACATTTCTGAGCCTCAATTTGTTCATGTGAAAAATTGGTATACTATTTGTGCTAGCTACCTTGGAGTGCTCATTTGAGAAAAGTAAGAGTACAGAAGTGTACAACAGGTAGTATATATATTAACTATAACTATTAACTAACTAATATATATTAACTGGGTTGTGATAAAAATACTTGAAAAATTATATATTTTCTTTGGAATGTAAGTTATTATTCAACAACAAAAAATCCTTAAGGTCCATTTAAGTGTCCACCTGCCACCATTAAGGACCTAGATGCTAGACCAGATGTAATCATCAGATCACCTAATCGGGAAATATTATCAACACTTTCTCTATTACTTGAAAACACAGGTGAAACAGAAGAGTTGCACTTTTTTTTCTTGTCTTTCATATATTGTGAAGTGTCTTTCCCTAAAGTTTGACTCCATAACAGTGGCCCTTGGAGACTCAAAGACTTTTGTTGCAAAGTGGAGCTCTGATAGGTCCCAGCAAAGTAGAAATGGTTCAAGTACAGGTTGTGATAGACAAAATTGTTGTCAGCTAAGGACAAATATATCTACATTTAGTGAGCCTCCTTGGTAGGTTGGCTACAGGCACATCAGCTATTGGAGCAGCTATTCATTGCAAGTGAAATCGTGAAGCAATTTGTATTAGTGGCAGGAGTAGCCACAACTAGTAGTAGGTACTATTTATTATTCCTTTCCTACAATTGAGGCAGACATTGATTAAGTGACTTGCCCAGGATCACTAAGATAATGCCTGAGGCCAGATTTAAATTTGAATCTTCTTGACTCCAGGTCCATAATTCTATCCATTTTACCACTTAGCTACATAGATCTGTTGATAGATTTGGAAATATTTAGAGTGGAGGGAACAAGTAAGCTACTTTTAAAGAGGTATAGTTTCCAGAGTGACAGAATTTAGATTACTGCTGTCCATTAAACTGCTCTGACTTAGTCTGTCTTATTTTATTCAGTCCTGGGTACCCAATTCTAAGAAAGTCATCGATAAGTTTAAAAATACACAAAGGAGGACAACTACAGAAGTGAAGGCCTTCATGTTCTTTCCATATCAAAGTCAGTTGAAGGAACCAAGGACATTTAAATGTCTTGGGGATCTGTGATTTCATAAGTGTGGGTAATAATTCCACTCACACAAATAAGAGTGTAAGACAAATCAGGTTTAGTGTGGTCAGGGAATCAACTGACATATGTCATAATGATTATCACTTATGGATGAGATAAGGTGAGGAAAAGCTCCCTAACCATTAGTATTCTCCCAAAGTGTAGAAGGCCTTGGGGAGTATTCCATTCTACTTCTTTGAAGGTCTTCAACCAAAGACAGGAAGACCACTTGTTGGGCATATCATAGTGAGGATTAGTTTTCACATTTGGGTTGAACTAGATTATCTTTGAGGTCCCTTTCCCATTTGGGAAGATAATTGAGTTAGAATGTGCATTTAATTTCACCTTTCCCTCACCATGTTCAAAAAAGAATATGAGGAATAAAGTAATTAAAAACAAATAAACAAACAAAAAAAAAGACAAGAAATAGGAAGAAGCTCACTAGAAGGCAATGCCTATGGCAAATTGAATAATATGTACATAAATGAACATACATACACACATACACACATGTACACAAATCAAACAGAATACCATGTTGACAGCTCAGCTCAGTTTCTATAAGTACCCAATGCTCCTCACTTTTCAGTCACTATTCATGGGCCCAGGCCTCCTACTCTGAGCCCCATAATTCTGTCAGCAATTTTCAGCCTACCTCTCCCTCCCCACAAATTCCTCAACACTCAGCAATAATTCAGCTGAACTCATCAACCCCTAACTCCAATAATATGAAGGGGAGAGTCAATAACCTAGAATGGGGGAAAGATTATATCAATGTTGAACTGGCTCAAACAATCACCAACCATTTACATGCCTGCTAAATGCCAGGCACTCTCCTAAGCACTGGGAATACAAATATAAAGTAGAAATAATCTCAGATTGCAAGGAATTTACATTTCAACACTGTCTTGACAGAAGTAGAGTAGTCTTCTGGGAAGATAAATGGATAAAAAGTGAGTTATAATCATGAGTTATATTCTACACCGAAAAAAGAGCACAAAAGGCACCAAAAATAAGGAAATGAATCAATGAGTGAGAGATAAAGGAATATAAAGCAACATAGAAGAATGAAAAGTCATGTCTAAGCAAAAAAATGGACCAAGTAGAGTAAAACAAGCATTACTACCAATACATAGGAGATGGTTAAAATTTTCACACAAGAAAAATGAACAGTAAAATTAATAGACAATAACAACAACAACAAAGCAAACACTTCATAAATGATGAAATGCAGTGAGCAACTATTTTAGAAGAAAAAAATCCTTAAATGAGAGGGAAATGCTATAATAACAATATAATAAGTTATAAATTTTAACTAAAAGAACCACACAAATAATGATTAAACAACTGCAACAACCTCAACACAGTTTAGAAGAGGTGAAAATTTTTAAAAGAAGAAATGTTTGGAAAATAAGACAAAAATTAGACATCTCAAATATTAAAAAGACAAACTGGGTAATGGAAATTTATAAGAAAGGATAGAGAAAACTTCCAAAAAAAGTATTCTCTGAAATATATAATAAGAGGAAATTCTGAAAAAAAATAAGCATAAGAAAAAGTAACAAATCAAGAAAAATAAATTTTAAAATGAAAAAAAATGCATAGATTGTCTACAAACCAAAGTAATTGACCAACATCCTTGCATGCTTAGAGACAGCTGCAGTATTACTTTCCGGAAGAATGTGCTTAGTAGATGGTTATGGATTGATTGAGCAATTAGTACCCATGCTACATTTGTAGTTCAATATTGTGAAGATTGAAGGAATTTTACTAC